TTAAATGGATCATTGCTCTATCATATAGAAGCCCCTACTGGCACGTCAACTTTTAAAAGGGACACCCATGGAATTCCTTTGAAACACCAGTGGCTCTCGGATATAACTTTTCCGAGTCTTGATCCATTACTCAAAGTGAACAGAAGATATTGGATAACAACCTTAGCATGTATCACCGTTGTTTTCGGTTTAGCCCTTAACCTATATAGCCGGTCCAATGCTTCTTCTGTTCCTTCTGAAGATAGGAGCAACCATCCTATCCGCCTTATTCTCGTGCATGTGGAAAGGGATAAAAAGCCTGATAAAATGCATAACTAACGGTGGATCTGCCATTTCTCGTAATGTTCGGGTTAATAGCAACAAAGCAACCCTGTAAGCAACCACATCTCAATAATAATCATAATTATGATTCATCAGTCAAAAACTTAGGCAAAAAGTTATATTCAATGCTACTTATTATTGCTAATCTGTTAGCTTAGCCCTTTATGGCAACAATTTACATGTTGAGTGGTGAAGAAGTGTTCAAAAGCTGTTTAATTCCCGCCATCAACATTTTCGCTTCACACGGAGTTTACAGCAATTCTGATAAAGCAATTCGAATATCCAAAAATATCGGCTATTTATTCTTGCGGCACCCCCGAGCCAGCTCCTTAGGTTCGTAATTAGATTAAAGAGATTGAGTTCGATGTGTATACATCCGCCTCTGTAGGGCTGCGGCCTAGTGGGTTATCTTCGAGACACTGGCATGGTTAACTTTGGTCAATTGCAGCATTGCTGTTCTCTAAACTACATACTCAAAAACGGCGGGGAACTTAAACAGATTTGATCATACTCCACCTCAAATTAGTTATCAAACATTTTTTTCAACACTACAAATGCTATTTATGCAAATAATATGTCTGCGATATAACGAATGTACGACTGATAAATCAATATGATCATTGAATGAGAGACCTATATTCTGCTACTCTCTAGTCCACCCTATCCAAAAAGAGGTATTAACGCCAAAGATAGAGCAGTGCCATCTAACTCGTCAGGATTGATTTAAGGAGCCAGCTGACTTGATAACCCCTAAAGCGTGCGGGCACTTCAAGCGTGACTGTTATCACACCAGACTTCATCGGCTTGATCATTACTGGCCACCAGGTAAGCATCAGAAGGCTAACAGGTGAGCAGGTTGCCAAGGTGAAGCAATTCATGCACTCATCTCCTACAAGGTCGTGATATCGCACTCATTGTTACACTAATTCTTTTATTTTCACCATGATGTCCCCTTCATCTCGACTGCCAGCAGCCCGCAACCATCACAGCAGCTACGACGCAGCTACATCCATTAAGAAAAACAACTGCCGAGCTGTCATGTAGATATACGTCATCATATTGCCATGTATATATATATATATATTTGTAAGACCCCATTCAAATGTAAACTTCGTCCCCGGCGGAGTATCGTCTTCTGAGTCGACGATCCCTGTCCCTCGTCGCTCTCTAACTGTCTGAGACGACGTTGGGACACCAACTATGATTAGGGGGGTCAAGCGGGCGGGGCCACCAAAAAGCGTGGTCCCCACTCTACCGCGAACGACTCCAAAAAGAAGACGTTGGTTTAACATCAGAGATTTATACTTCCTATTTTAAGCCTTACAGTTACATTTGCGTTTACATTCGCATTTACAATTACATTGGGTTTTATTGTGCCATTGATTGCTTTGTTGTAAGATACTCATAAATCTAATCACACACACCACACCACTGAACCACCTCGCACAAAGAGCATCATGGTTCATTTGGAATAGGACGATTTGGGAGTGTGTTGGTCGACGGCTGCTATGACATCACCTCCGCTTTGCAAACGACGGACATCGGCTTACACCAAAGGTCGAGTAAGCGGAACAAACGCTGGCCGCATTTGACAAAGCTTTTACCCATTTCACGTTGAGCGGAATGAATACCTTTACATGCTGTAGCTGCGTGTATCTAGGTCAGGAAGTCAACATGATGAAAGACCTAGGGAGAAGGAAACGCTTCTCGTGTGGAGCATTCAAGGATATCAAGGGAGTAGTGAAAGAGACGAGGAACTTTCGCTGATTTTTTCCACATGCTGTCCTTGCCGCTTTGACGCCTGTCCTCCTCGGAGACTTGGACTCCGCGAAAGTAGGATAATCGTGCTCTCTCTCATTCAACAATTTTTGGGAAGGACGATTCTTGTAATTCCTCTACTCACACAAATGCGGAAGGAACTCTCGGGTTTCGAGCCCAACGAACGATAATTGGGGGATGCCTTTGCTTACGCCAAGAAATCGATGATTAGGTGGGCCGGACACGTTATTTCATGCTTATGCGATATACTGATAACTGTTGGACAGGACGCTTACTGACTGGATCCCTCGGGACTTCAAGCGAGCACGAGGGCGGCCGCCTGCTAGATATCAGACTTCTCCACGAAAGCTCTGAAGGAAAGGAATGCTTTGCCTCGTGTCGCTCGAGCGAGGACAATCCACTGCACCACTCTTGCTTACGACAGGGAATGAAGACGTTACTGGCACTCCGAGAAACACGATGAACAACGGGATGACAGGTGATACATGTGACCTGAACTAGCCAAGCGTGCCCTCAATGGATGGCGGATTATGTAGTGGAGACGGCTCCGAGTCATCTCCCTGATATAATTCCCGATTAAATATAGTTCCCAGTCGGTTTCATTTGAGCTCTGGCTGACATGCAACACACCAGAGATAGAAAGTTTATGTTTATTCCAATGAATTCACCTGCATTTCTGGACAAGTACCGATGACTTTCAATTCGCGATTAACTCCTCTGTCCACCTCCTGTGGTAACGCCACGTACGCGACTAGGGAGACGGCCAATCCTGACTGAAGTGGAAATCCTTCAGTGATAGAGAACCCACCGTAAAGCAGATCTGGTACTAGATTCAAGTCGGTACTAGCTTTCTTCGGGGGGCACGCTCTTCACTGAGGGTGCGGGGGGGGGGGGGGGNAACACGAATTGCTGTTTTCTTGGCCTATGTGACTGTGACTCAGCAAAACTTTTTGCTGCGATAACATTATACACGTTTATCTACAACTGTCGCCGAAACATCTTTCTAGGAAAAAGACTCATCGCTGATGGTCCTTTTATTAGGCTCACCATAGCGGTAACCTGATAATCATAATCTTAGAGAAACTTCATATTGAGGTCATGCCAAGCCATGGGGCTGCCCAGTATTCGAAGAAACTCACCAAAAAGGAATTTCCTCCATAAACACCCTTATCTTTTTAACTCTCGGTAATCAACGTTCTACCACACCGGAACATTCGAAATAACATTATTTCGTTTCCCGTCAATTTCGGTTTTTTAACGATTCTGTTTCGCTAGCTTCGCATTGGCATCGAACGGTAAGGCAACTTTTGGTCGTCTCCGATCAATATTCCACCCAACCTTCAAACTTCTTTCTAGTTCTTATTCGCTCGCAAGATTCAGAATCATTTTACCATTTTTCAATCTTTTTCTTTTTCTTTGGCCCCTGTAAGCACTCGATAATACCTATTTTTTTTCCCTTTCGACTTCTCCTAAAACTTCTTAACAAATCCCGCCCAACTTCCTTCTGATCCTTCTAGTCGAAGAAAAGTTTTGCTTCACCAAATTCTATTCATCGCTAACGAATTTTGTGCCATTATGAATTACCATGACGTTCTTCTTAATACTTGTTCTTATTACCCGTTGAAACGATCTACCAACAACCAGACCGCACCCGCCGTTGGCCTAGTTCGCTTCCATCCTCAAATAAGCTAAAGAATGCATAAACTTGCTCCAAAGGAAGCCGTATCTATTTTGAAGCTTGCAGTTTTCTTGTTCTGAGGCATATGGAAGTAGAGTTTATCGATTTTCGGGATCGAAACCCATTTCTTTGACTTACCCGAACCGAAGTCTAGTCTGGATTGCGTTGTGAATAGACGAATAAACACAATTTTTCTATCCCTGGTTTATTGAGCAGCTCAGCTGCTCTTCAGTAATTGATTCAATTTGATTCAAAAACATAAATGTAGAGCCTTGATGCAGTATTTAAGAGCTGGGACTCGACTGAACACCGAGCATTATCTATGTGGACTAGAAATGATTNNCCGGATGCTGAGCTACGAGTGGGACGAAGGGGAGCCGCTGTCAGCCCGTGGCGATGACTCCACTGGTCTGCTTTCCGAAAGGAGGAACCACACTCTACTCAGGCCCATCTACATCAATGCAGTAGAAGTCGGCTATGCGTAAGTTTTGCTTTCTCATATTCAAGTTACAGGTGTAGTTTGTTGAATGACATGTGGGTTCGGTCGATCTTCCGCTCATAAAGCAGAACCACTCATATTTGCCCATGCTATTTTAAAAACATTTTTGAAGAGTTGAGGATTGGTCACTGAAGTTGCTTGACCGCATCTGGGAACACCTTCAAGACATGACATGGTTCAGGAGGCGGACTGGCGTCAATGAAGTGAAGTCACCGGGCGCAGTACCAATGCCCAAGTAGTCATCAATAGCTCAAGTAGATAGTCAACGATAAGCGCTATTCTTTTACTGACGAGGCTCTTCTCTTCCGATGTCCATTTCACAAGAAAAGCGCGCGTTCACCGGATATGTGTCTTTTATTGATGATCGATGTGTCGACGTGGGAGAACGTCCGTTGCGCGTTTCCGCCGAAAGTAGGTCACCCCGCCCACTTCGCGCGCGGCGCATTACACCGAGGTCTCGAGATGACATTACAGTACCACCAAGTGTCGTTGGAGCAAATGATTTGCATTTGTCTGTGTTATCTTCTTCTTGAACTGACTGCCGTGGACCAAACGCAAAGCGTATGCCCCAGTGACAATTGCGACGTCTGTCAAATATCGCGGGCCGACTCGCCGCGTGCGACGGCTGCGGCGTGACCTAGTTTTGACGGACACGCGCAACGAAGCGCACCCGTCGAAGTGTACTAAAACCCCCAGGGACTACCGATTAGCTAGTTAATCACTAGTATATTGGAGTACTAACCATTCGCGGTCTTTTTGGAGATCAACTCAATTCATGTGCAACGATGATGATGGCTCTCTACGCATTTCCTGAAATGGGAGCGCTGTACTTATAGTAACTCTACCCGAAGTTGCGTTGCCTTTTAGCATACACTAGTGATCATCTAGTTAATATAATTTACTGTAGTTGTACGATGAACTCCAATATATATTTTTTCACAGAAAATATTGTCAACTAGTAACTACAGATACACGCAGTGCGACAAGGATAAGCGACTCAATGTTCGTGGAGTCACGATTGCGCTCTGGTATTTCCTTTCGAGAGGGCATCAGGTTAGTGAATTTAGTGGGTACATGGACCGCTAACTCTTAATATGTCATCGTTATCCTTACTATGCATAAAACGCTAGCGTCTATCTGTCGGTCTGTACATCTGCCTGTCTGTTTGCACGAAAATCCATAACTCCTGTCCCCGCTTATCTAGAACGTTCAAACTTGGTAGGAATACGAGGGGAAGGATGGGAACACTTATGGCAGGTGGCAGGGCCGGACTCCACTCACAAGAGGCGGGGTTTGCGCGATATAAATGGTTGAGCGGATGTTCATAAGTCCTGTTCCAGTGGACCCAACGAGTTCAATTCGGTAGGATTAGAGCTTTTCGTATCAACAGAGAAACTTAGGCATTTCAATAAATGATGTGGGATATGACGCGATCGTAGATACTCGGTGGCAATAACCATGACAATTGATAAGAGAAGATAAGAGGACTAAGAGAGCAAGAGCCACCGATCAAAATCCTAACCCTTCGGTATATACGATGTAGCTTTAACTGTTCAGTATAAGAGTAGGGTGATAGAAGTGGGTGTAAGTGCACTGATCCTACCCATAAGCGGCACTACGATGCAGATGAGACTTTGGTTCTTTCCTTGCTATTAGATGCTCGCTATTAGATTACGACCGCTACCCAACAAGGTTTGTAACTCAATGAAGGATCCTCTCTGGTCGCTATAATTTGCGACAAAACCTAACCGACGATCGATAATCTGGAATTCTCGATCCTAATTTATATAATTCGCTAAGTGTGTCTGTTGGTGTATGTGTGTGTGTGTGTGTGTGTGTGTCGGTGTGTCGTTGTAAGTCGGTGTGTGTCGGGGTGTGTCGGTGTGTGTGTGTCGGTGTGCGTGTGTGTGTCGGTGTGTGTGTGTNATATGTCATCGTTATCCTTACTATGCATAAAACGCTAGTTGATGAGTTGATCTATCTGTCGGTCTGTACATCTGCCTGTCTGTTTGCA